GAGGGAGGGGGCAGCCCAGTGCAGCCCAGGAATCTGAGCTGTGGAGCCCAGAGGCTCTGCTCCAGGAGCCCACATTAGGCTGCTCAGGCTCTGGTGAAGCTCTGTCATTGGCTGAGGGCTCCCTGGGGAGGGCAGGGACAACTGCTAAGATTGAAGGCGGAAGAAGCCGGAGATATCTGTGGGGATAAGAACCCTCACATTTAATACACTGATTTCCCCGTACAGATGGGAAAATCGGTTTAACATCATGAGATCAACATGGCTGTTAATTTTTGCGCAGTGACCTTTCAGCACACGGACTTTTCCCCAGACTGGACAACAGAGCTGAAGTTTCCCCAACTGAGAGCACTCCTCGAAGCAGGCTGTCTTGGGAAGATAAATGAAACTGAACTACTTGGGAATAAAAAGGGTCTTTAATCGGGGCATTTATAACAGGTGAGCAGAAGCCAGGAAAACAGCCAGCTGTCACCAGATGGCGACTGAGACACAAGAGGGACAGTGGAGAGTGAGGGTATGATAAAGGCCAGGGAGAGGGGGGGGGCTCTTTGTGGATGGACTTCCTGGGCTGGGGTGCCCCTCACCCACAGGAGGGGCAGTTTCAGGGCAGTGTGTAGGAGGGAGGGAATTGAGGGCTTGGTTTTGGACATGATGGGTCTGAAGTTCCCATGAGTCATTAAGTCTGAGGCCTCATGGGGAGTGTGATCTCTGAGTCTAGAGCTTAGACTTCCTACTTAGCTTTTCCTCACAGGATCCTGCCAGATTGCAAAGAACAGCTGATCACTGTCAGGGGAAGGAAGGAGACAGGTGACCTCTAGCAGGAGAGAAACCCATGCAGAGAGGCCTAGCGGGTAGAAGTCCAGAGAAGCCACAGAGAGCTCCAGCCTGAGATTGGCATGACATTGGCATTACATCTAGAGAGATCTCTGGTGCCAGCACAGCAGACAGATCCCAGGGAGGCCAAACAGAGTCAACTCTGATCTATTTTCTGCTGATATAAGTGAATATCATGGACTGGATAATTTTTAATGAAGGCTGGAAGGCACAACAGTGTAGAGATGAGAGCCTTCTCGCAGATGGAGACTCTCTGCAGAGTTCCCATATGGCACAGGAAACCTGTGGTTAGAGGGGTGCATACGTGACAGACCTACCCTAGGGAGCACCTGGTAACCATGAAGCCATGATGGGACCAAGTCACTGGTAAGGACAACACCCTAGGACATAATTACCTCCAGTCTAAGTTAGGTTTCTATTACTGTGAAGAGACACCATGACCACGGCAACTCTTATAAAGGAAGACATTTAATGGAGTGGCTGACAGTTCAAAGGTTCAGTCCATTATCATCATGGTGCGACATGGTGGTATGCAGGCAGACACGGTGCTGGAGGAGGAGCTGAGAGTTCGTACATCTTGACCAGCAGGGCGCAGGAAGTGGTCTGAGACACTGGGCGTGGCTTGAGCATATATGAGACTTCAAAGCCCGCCTCCACAGTGACACACTTCCTTCAACAAAGCCACACCTCCCAAAGACCTCACCTCTTAATACCTCAGACGGGCTTGAATTTCAGCATAGGCGCTGGTGGGAACTTTCAAGTCTCAGCAGAGGCAGAGAGAGGAGTAAGGGAGCTAAACAAACACTGGGCTGATAAGGGCGGAAGGAGGACGTGGTTTGAATGAGGACAGATGAGAGCGTGTAGACAGGCCTAGATAATAACACCCAGTTTCCAGGTTGAGCGACTGTGTGAGCAATGGGGTCATGTCTCCAAAGCATGTGTAGGAGGAAAATCAGGGCTGTGCTGGAGGAGGAGGAGAAGGCAGATCCTCGACTCACTTAGACTTACCCGTTCCCAGAACACTTCTCTCACCCATCGTTGGCTAGGTCACACAGCAGCCTCGGGCTGGGTCCACAGGGACCTTCCTCTGCCATTGTCGATGTTGACTCTTCTCTGCCGCCACCCCAGACTCACCACCAAAGTTAAATGTGTGGCCATGACACCGCCTCCCTCTGTCTTCTTCGTTCTTCCCGTGGGCGCCTCGTCCTCTTGACTTCAGTCCTGGCCTTCAGTCTCTCCTAACAGCCATCCTTGACATTTCTCCGTAAGTTTCACGATGCAGCTCACTGTTCTGAGAAGTGCAGTTGGCCTGCTGCCCGGGGCTTGGTGTCCAGCTCCTTAGTCAGGCTTCACAGTCCTCACGTTCTGGTCACCGACTGAAATATTTCTCCTTTCCAATAGAAGTCGCTTCCTTACCGAACAGACTCCTCCCACAAGGCATCCTCAGGGTGCCCCAGCCACCTGGCTCCCATTCTGAAGCCCGCACAGTGCCTGAGGGCTGTTGTCTCGAAGTAGCACAGCTGGGCTCTGGTCTTCTTCACTTCGCCTCTGAACCTGTTGTCAGAAAAGACACCGAGGCGCATGTCTCGGGGATCCTTCAGGGGGGCTGCCAGGCTGCCTCCTCGGATGCTCAATCTGAGCTCTATGACTGAGGGTTACAGTGGCTGGAGGTGGCTTGGACCATCTGGAGCCCTGGAGGCTGGCAGTGGCCTCGCACCTGCCTTGGGGTGTCTTACAAAGGCATCTGTTTGTAACAGATAGTACTACCGCAGATAACACAGCACGTCCTCGTGGGGCCCACAGAGGCTTCCTAGTGATACCTTACTCAGGGTCAGAGAATCTGAGGGTACTTTACCCAGCAGGGCTGCATAAGGAGGTGATTTGACCACAGGCGTGGTTACCAGGTGTTTGGAAGGGTCTATACTTGGCTCTATGGTGTGCTTTGATCTTGAAAGGGGGAGGTCTTTTGTCTCTCCCCTTGGCATATTATAAAAAGCCCTTTTGAATAAACGAAGAGGCTGGTGGGTATGGACTCAGGCCCTCCTGAAGCTATTCTGTGTTTCTGTCTTTCTTCTCATCATCTAGGTCTCTCTTGGTGGGGGCAGGACTCCCACAGGCTCCCACACATCCTAAGCAAGTGTTAGGAGTACCTATCACTATGACAGCATGTCTCCTCCCGTGGATAACGCTGGCAGATCTGAGTTCAGAACGGAGTCCCCGATTGCTCAGACTCTGGGGACCTGCCCACTCTGAAGGTTGAAGAACTGGACTGTTCCTCAGCTCCCTGCTTTACAGTCAGGTAAACTGAGATTAGTTCTGAGGTGGCGAGATTTTTCTGTTTTACCAGACCGACAAAAAGATGAGTGTGCAAACATGCACACGCTTGCACTGTGTGGTCAGGTGTGACTGGGTAGGGATTGTCCAGGTGGTAAGAGCTTGAGAGTTAAGAGTGTTTGAGAGATGACTCAAGGGCAGGCTGTGTCCACGTGGGCCGTCAAGGCCAGCCTGTCAGATGCTTTCCCAACTAAACTAAAAGAATAAGGCACAGTCTCCTACAGTCCCAGTGATCCTAGGCTCCACTGAGGTCACTATGTGCTGTCCATTAAATGTCTTAAGAACAGCCCTGGCCATGATAGTCTGAGTGTTTCCACGGCCCCGGGAATGGAGGTTGCATTCTGGTGACTTGGGGCTTGAAAGAGAGTCTGCCCCTCCCAGCTTCTTTTAGTTCCTTTTCTTTGTTGACCCAAATACCCGACAGAATTTAAAGGAGGAGGAATTTAGTCTTGACGTACACTGTGAAAAGATGCAGTCTGTCATGGTGGGGATGCGGTGGTGGCAGGGCCATGAGGCAGCCTGTCACACTGCATCTGCAGCCCGGTGTCTAAGAGAGATTGGCCCTGGCGCTCGGTCCAGGACCCCAGCCCACTGAATAGTGCCCCACCCCACTCGGGGTGGCTCTTCCCTCTTCAGTAAAACCACTCTGGAAACCACCTCAGAGACACACCCACAGAGGAGTTCCCATGGTAATGCAAAACCCAGTCAAGTGGCAAGGGCACCAGCCAAGACACCTGTGTGTCCTCTTCAGAGATTAGGAAGTCCGGGGCGTGAGCTGTGTGAGTGTGTGCATGAATGAGTGCAGGAGTGTGAGACGGCAGAAGCTGCAGGATCGCGGGCTGCCCGCCATTGTCTGGATGGGCAGAAGTGTGCAGGCAAGAGAGCAACAGCCTGCTGAGGGCTGGGTGGAGCACAGCCTGTGCTCTGCGCTCACAGGATTGACTTCCCTCTGCCAGCTAGCAGCCGCCTCAGTTTCTCAGGATTCTCCAATGGTGGTCTGGAAGGCAATGAGGAAAGAGGAGGAGGAGAGGGAGGAGGGGAGGGCAGGGAGGATGAGGAGGATGGGGAGGGGGGAGGAGGGAAGGGGAGGAGGGGAGGAAGGGAAGGAGGGAGAAGAGAGGAGGAGGGGGTGGACAGGAGG